AGTGTATGTGTAAATACAGACATATGAGTCAGTTTTTTAAAATTACAATGTTGCTATTTTTAGTAGTTATTGATAAGACTAGCAGACTTTCAGATAAATACTGATGCCTAAGTATTTATTTTCACCAAAATTAAGGAAAATCTAACGCTTGTCAGATCAGCCTGAGAATTGATGTCACCTTTTGTATTTAGTCGCAGTGGTTTATCTTGCAATTAAAATCAGCAGACAAGATTGAAATCTTGGAACTAGGATTGGAGGAGCATTGTTGTTACAGTTGAGCCAATTGTTACATTTTAAGTGAGATAAGTAGGTACTGTTCATTTTCTTACTAAAAATCTAGGTTATGAATTCAGAATTTTAATATATTATCTATTTTCTTCCTTAGTGGGGAACATTCCATATGAGGCTACTGAAGAGCAATTAAAGGACATCTTTTCTGAGGTTGGACCTGTTGTTAGTTTCAGGTGAGATTCCCTTTCACTACCTGCTGGGAATTTCTTAAAAATCACCACAAATTTGGCCCTTAGTAATAATGGCAAGGCTTTTACTGGTGACTTTTTACATGCATTCTTTTTTCCCCTGTTTGTTTATAATAGTTTCATTGCAATGTAATTCACGTACCATGCAATTCACATTCATTTTTACTAAAAGATACATTTTTTTTTTTAATAAATGTGGGCATGGCCGGCGGCGTTCAAAGTTCATGCCATTTTCAAATATGCCCAGGCTTTTACTCTCTGCTGGGCCCTTTTGTGTTTCCTGTGCATGAGTGTTCAGCATTAGGGTTGCCCAGATATGTGTAACTGGATTGGGTTTTCCCCAGAATCTGCTGCACATGCACAGTCAAGCAAGATACTTGGTATGATTTAGCTCTTTATTTTGCCTCCTTAACTTTTTTGTACTTTCTCTAACAATGACTACAATTTCAGGCTAGTGAAGCTATGAGCAGTCATAGCTTCATGCTCAACCACTACGAGGATTGTCACTCCTACTGACAACACTGCTGGGTGTGATCTTTTCCCACCACACCAAATTGAGCAAAATCCCCTTTACTAGCCATAGAGAAGCTGCTGGCCCTTATGACCTGCCCAGCAAAATCTTGTCAACTGAGCTAGGAGAGAGATTCATTTAAAAAAAAAAAAGTTTATGAATGTCAACTGTAGTTGAAAAAGTTTTTTCAATTAATGTTTAAAAAATATTTCAGTGAGCGATACGATTATTTGTCTTACAATCGACCAAATTAGAACATGGCAATGTTAGCAAGAACCCTGTGTGTATGTAACATTTGTGCCTGATACTTGGTTCTGCTTTCCAGATTGGTATATGATAGGGAGACAGGCAAGCCAAAGGGTTATGGCTTCTGCGAATACCAAGACCAAGAGACAGCACTTAGTGCCATGCGAAACCTGAATGGGCGTGAATTCAGTGGGAGAGCACTTCGAGTAGACAATGCTGCCAGTGAAAAGAACAAAGAAGAGCTGAAGAGTGAGTATAAACCCAAGTTGTATGTACATGAGTTACTAAAGATGTAACAATGAAGATTTTTCTATTTGTGATATGTTTTAGCATCTGCTGAAATGGTTACCCACATAGCTTCTTTACTTGACCCACCTGAGGTGCATTAGGAAAGTTTGTATCTTTTTTTCTTCAGTCTTTTTTTTTTTTTAATAGTGACATAGGTTAACAAAATCTAGTAAGTTTCACCTGTACATTTTTGACAGTAAGGTATATATGTATGTGTGTATACATATATTTATATATATATTTACATTGTGCGTTCACTTCCCATAGTTAGATTTCTTTCTGTCACCACATATTTGACCCCTTTTACCCTGTCTACCTTCCCCCTTGCCCCTACCCTCTGGTAACCACTAGTCTATTGTTCATGTCCATGAATTTCCGTTTGTCCTGTTCATTTGTTGCTTTTAGGTTTATATCCCACATATAAGTGACAACATGTGGTTTTCCACTTTTTCTGTCTGGCTTATTTTGCTTATAATGATTATCTTGAGGGGAAAGTTTATATCTTTGAGAAACAAAGTAAAGTTGACTTTAGAAGTCCTTCAGTTTCCAAGGAGTTGATTCCAGTTAGAAATTAATTCAGGCTCACCAAACAAGTAGTAGTGCTAAATACGTTACTGGTGTTTACCACTTCTGTAACTATGTTACCAAATCTGTAACTGATGGGAATACTAAGACATTCTTAAGCTTGTTTTTTATGAGGTTATAGATCCAGGAATTCCATTTTGAAATTAGCATCTTTTTCTATGTAAACCTTTTGCTTCTGAAATGGCTTGTCAAAGGAAATTAATATGCCTATTCCCTAATAATAAGTTAACATTGTCCACCTATGTCATCCTGGTCCTAGTTTTACTCTGAGAACAGAAAATACACTGTCACTTTCCTCCACAGAAATAAGAAACTTAGAAATCACTTATTTCTCAGCTCCAGAGAATTGAAAGTTATCAGCAAGTCCTTATGGCAGTGCTGGAAAGTAGATACTTGGTATGATTTAGCTCTTTATTTTGCCTCCTTAACTTTTTTATACTTTCTTCCTGATTAGGCCTTGGCACTGGTGCCCCTGTCATTGAGTCACCTTACGGAGAGACCATCAGTCCTGAGGATGCCCCTGAGTCCATTAGCAAAGCAGTTGCCAGTCTTCCACCAGAGCAGATGTTTGAGCTGATGAAGCAAATGAAGGTGGGAGGAGATATTAAATTATGAATAAATCCAATCACATCAAATTTTCTAGTTAATGGAAATAATTCCCTGAGTTCAAATAGAAGGTGTGCCTACTGACCACCATTTATTGCACCTTCAGTATTCCATATGTGCATAGTGTGTTTTACATTTTGTGCAAAGAGCTTTCCATTTTTGTACACAAACACACCAACACAATCTGGCTGGGTTTTTGTGACCTATAGATAACAAATGTGATATTAAAATGTGGCTTTTTTCCTAAATGATGGTATTATGGTATTTGAAATGCCTCTTCTTTCTTTTGCCTGCCATGACCAAGATTTTGTGTGCTATGCAAAAAACAATAATAGCTTTAAAAGCCTCTGGAATATTATGTTTCTCAGATCGGAATGGCTCTAAATCACTATCAATTTCTGAGCAATAAGTATGTAACCTGGTGATGAATCTGTTTTATCTTCTCAGCTCTGTGTCCAGAATAGTCCCCAGGAAGCAAGGAACATGTTGCTCCAAAACCCTCAACTGGCTTATGCTTTGCTGCAAGCTCAGGTAGTGATGAGAATTGTGGATCCAGAGATTGCTCTGGTGAGTACTTTGTGTTCTTCTATGGAAATGCTAGAGTAAACCTTGAGTATGATAGGAACTGCCTGATTGCTTTATTAAACAGATAGCTCATAGACTTGTCTTTTTACTTTTTAGAAAATTCTGCATCGTCAGACAAATATCCCAACGCTAATTGCAGGCAACCCACAGGCAATCCACAGTGCTGGGCCTGCCTCAGGAGCCAGTGTGTCAATGAACCAGCAGAATCCTCAGGCCCCTCAGGCCCAGTCTTTGGTAGGCCTTTACCCCTTAACATTTCTTTTACCTGTTTTAAAATGTCATTTTCATTTCAGGAGGATATATGGAAAAAAGAATAGGAGCCAGAGATGATAATTTCGGTTTCTAGGCATAAAAGCAGTTTCTAAGTTGCAGAGTATGTGACATCTGAATGAATATAGATTGGGTGCCCAGTTTAGAACAAAGAGTTCTTTCCTGTATGCCATTCTTTATAAGCTAATTTCATGTATATGTGCATGCGTGGCACTATGGTTGGCACTGTTATTCCATATACATCATTTCATTTAATACAGCAATTATATGAGGGTGGCACTCTTATTATCTTTATTCTTACCGATGAGAAAAGTAAAGCTAGCTTTCTAGGTGTGACACAAAACCCTGAAGCCATAAAAAAAATCAGTACATCGGAAAACTGAACAATTTCTATATGGAGAAAAAGGAATAAACACCAAAGACAAATGACAAATTGGGAAAAAGTATTTGCCACACACGTGATGGGCAATAGGCTGATTACTTAACAGGCCTTAATCATGTTGAAGAATGTTTATTGCCACATTATAATAGTGAAAGATTAGAAACATGTATATCAGAAGAAGAACGGAAACAATGTGATAATACAGATGTATAATACAGAAGTGAAGATAAGTGAACGTGGAAGTATTCCCAAAATATGGGAAATATGTTGCTGCATATATCCCAAAAACATGTTGAGTGAGTTGCAAAGAATATGTTCAGGATGTAGTGATTTACATAAAATTTAAAAACATCTATAAAAATTCTTAAGTGATTGTCTAATAGAGGATATTGGGTGCAATTGGGGAAGACCATATGGGAGATTTCAATTGTATATGTAATGTATTTCCTAAGCAGCGTGGTTAATTTTATTTTCTGTACAATTTATATATCTGGAGTTTTTCATAATAAACAAAAAAGACCTCATAAATTAGTAAGAAAATTACCAATAACCCAGTAGGAAAGTATGTAATGGACATAAACAGTTCTCAAAAGTGGAAATACAAATATATGTTAAATATATGAAAAAGTGTTCGATCTCACAATAAGATAAACGTAAACAGAAAGTACAATAAGCTACCATTTTTCACCTATAGATTGGCAGAGGCGAATAACTGAATGGATGGTACAAAGGTTTAAGGCGGAGGTCTGCAAACATCTGTAAACGGCCAGATAATAAATATTTTCGGCTGTGCAGGCCGTGGAATCAGTCCTAACTACTTATATCTGCTGTTGGAATGTGAAACCAGCCACAGACAATACATAAACAAATGTTTGTAGTTGTGCTCCAATAAAACCTTATTTAGGGAACCAGGCAGTCAGCCAGATTTGGCCCATGGGCCATAGTTTGCTAACCCCTACTCTAATTCAATAGATACTTTTCAGAAATAGAAAGGAAATAAATTAAGACCCAGAGAGGTTAACTAGTCCAAAAATAATATAATCATAAGTGCAAATCCAGGAACTGAACCTGGTTCTGTCTAACCTCATAGCCTGTTTTCTCTTAGCCACCTCACTATGCAATTTTCTGTTTTAGAGTTTTGTTTGTGTTCTATGAGAGTACATGTGATTTTTTTTTATAACTTTTATTCTTTATTGAACTCTTTCTTTTCCAAGGGACTACTCAGTCCTCTGGGGAATACACAGATTAAAACATAACATTCCCTTTCCCTCCAGAAGCTTTAATGTAGCATTAAAAAAAATTGACATTCCCCGCCCCCCCCCAACCAGAATTATATCTGAGGACAGGGATGAGAAAAGATTTGATCAATAAAGAAATTTTTTTTTCATTTTAAAAATGCAGATTGCCAGCAGTTTCTTTATTTAAAAAAAAGTCCCAGTCTCCTCTTTTTCTTCTTTGCTTCACAGTACTTTTCTTTTTTACTCTTATTGCCACGTGCCAGTCATGAAGTCAACAATAGGTGCTATCTGCAGCCTCACCACACAGATAACACTTGTCAGTCTCAGCTTTTAGAATGTGATGTATCTTAACAATGCTATAACCAGGCTCTTCACATGTATTGCAACTTCTGTTCAAAATGTGTTATAAATCTAATGCTACATGAGACATGCCATACAAAAAGGGTATTTGATAGAATATTTGGGGTGTCAATTTGAAGAGTTCTTTAAGATCACAGACTATGTATGTTGCTTCTCCAGAGAGACATCTGCATACTATGGTTTTTCTCTTGGTCAGGGTGGAATGCATGTCAACGGCGCACCTCCTCTGATGCAACCTTCTATTCAAGCTGGAGTTCCAGTACCAGGGCAAATACCAACTGCTGTAACCGGACCTGGCCCCGGTTCCTTAGCTCCTGGAGGTAGGTTTCATTTACAATCTTCACCATTTTGGTATTTTGCTAAAGTTTTATTATAGCAAATGGGATAGATATTGACATAAAATTAACACACTACTAAGAAGTATGTATCCTAGGTGGAGGAAATAGTTGATTTCTTATATATAAATTCTATATGTCTGAACAGGACAGTAAGGTGGAAAAGTACAGTAAAACTTCCAAATTAACGAAGGGAAAATTAGAATGAATGAAAACTAGATCAAGCCAGCAAATACAGAGAAAAGGAAAGGACACGGAAGTAAGTAATAACAAATGTAGAGTAAGGGAGAAGGAATAAAATCTCGTATAGTCATGATTCTACTAAATGAATGGACTGAGTTCTCCCATTAAAAGCCAGAGACTGTTAGATTAGGTTAAAAAGCATATAAAAAAAAAAAGAATACATGGTCATGTTTCTTCTTCTTATAGTTAACAGACATAAAATTGCATTTCATAAATATAATCAGACCAAAGACAAAAATAAAAAAGTTTTAAAACTGTATATGTTTATTGAACGTGTATATATAGGAATTACAGAGTATTGCTATTTCACTTGTAGATTTTCATCATTCAATAAAGTTAAGTAAAAAAGTTATGGGTGAAATAGTAATTCCCCATATGAAACACCTATATGAACACATGATGTATATCAATATTGAAAGTTTTTGTGCAGCAGACTTGCTTGTTCATTTACCTAATTTGGGTTAGATTGGCTGCAATACTACTCATGGGAGATAATTTAATCTAAATTGTTCTATTTTGTACAGAGTAAAGTCGACAAGAATTGGAAGAAGGGATTTTTAAATTCCAGCTTACTCACAATTTTCATTTATCCTATAGAGTTATAGATAAATTATCTTTCAGTGAAAGAAATGGATTCTGTAATTTATGCATTTTTGAGTTTTAGGTGTATAATTTACTGTAAAATGTCACAAATTGTAATGTGGTTCTACTACACATGACAAGTATACAAACCAAGACATGTGCAGCTCATTCATTACGTGGGTTGAAAAACACCCAAATACCCTGTTCAGTGAGATAGATGCACTGATCACACACTTGGATGTCAAAACAATGTCACATTGCTATAAAAGTTTCTAAATGTCTGCTCTCCATTTCTGTACTTACATTGTCACAAACTGTTAACATACACACTGTGGATCAGCCGTGTTAATGGACAAAAAAATAAGTAGAGACAAGGAATAAAATAATGAAATCAATAAGCTTAATTTAATCTATAGAAGGTGCCTTTTGATTAGAGAATGTACCCCCCCAGCAATGATCATGGAACAGTAAATAAAAAAATAACCATGTACTTAGCCATAAAATAAAAACAAATTTTAAAATATTTTATAGGCTACATTCTCTTATTGTAAGCCAATAAAATTAAAAATGAATAAAAGGTGACTTAAAAAAAATTTTACTTAGAAAATTAAAGAACATACTCTAGGTAATCCTTGAATTAAATAGAAAATATAAAGAAATTTATAAGCTATCTAAAGGACCACAAAAAGTAGTACACTTTATACAAAAAAAGTATGGGAAATCGTGACAGCAGTACTTAAAGAAAAATGAATACCCTTAAATGCCTATATTATTAAAGAATAAAGGAAACCTACTAGTTTTAAATAATTAGAAAAATAATTTTTAAAAATACCAAGAAGAGGGAATTAATAAATATAAAAGTTGAAAGTAAGTGTAAAAGGAAAAAAAAGAATGTAAAAGGAACTTAAATAATTGAATTTTCAGGTGATTTTTTTTGTGAGTTTGTAGCATTTATACTTCTGAAGTTATTAAAACTTCACTTAAGATTTTTGAGGTCCCTTGTACAAGGGGTAACAACCCATTAGGAAAGTAGGTAAAGAAAATGAGTAGGCACTTCATAGAAGAGCAAATCCAAATGGCAACAAAAACAAATTCATTTGTGGTCAGGGGATTGCAAATTAAATAACGAGATTTCACTTTACTTCAACCCAGCAGACTAGCAGAAGTTTCAAAGAGAGTTGACATTATTGGTGGGGAATATGGTATCATACATTGCTGGTGGAATTGTGAAGTTTTTCAGTCTTTTAAGAAAGTAGTGTCACATTAATATAAGAAATTATGCCTATAACTCCTGCCACTATTTTCTTCAGATCCTAAATCTTTGTATTGTTTTGGTGAGTGGTCTGAATAAATCATAGAATGTTATGTCTAGAAGAGAGCTTTGAAATCAATTAGATCTGTGGTTCTCAAACTTTAGTGTACATTAGAATCACATAAAGGGATTATTAAAACAGATTGCTGGTGTCCATCTCCAGACTTTTAATGCAGCAGGTGTGAGGTAGGGCCCTGAGAGTTTGCAGTTCTAACAAGTCCTTGGTGATGCTGACATCGCTGATCTGAAGACTATATTCTAAGAACCACTGGTTTAAGCCAACTCCTCCTCTTTACAGATAAGGAAGCCTGGAATTATGTTAATTTTATCAAATCACTTGTTCAAAATCACAGTTACTTAGTAGCAGGGGTAGGGCTAGCAGGTTCAGGTTTTTTATCCATGGCTATTAAATGCCTAACATGTTAAATGGAATTAGAACGTGAAGTGAACGTTGACATTTTAGGTAAATATTAATGCAAACAGTTAAGCTTGTCTTTTCTCCCTACTCGCAGCATACATTGTTCCTCTGAGGAAAAGAATTATTGCTTTGTGGTAAGGACCAGACAAGGACTTGTGGTACATGATTATTCCTTGTACAGCAGTCATCATACCCTGACTGGTTAGAATAGACAAGTGGTTCTCAACTCTGTTAGACCCAGTGGCCCTTCTTCATAACAGATACGTTGCAGTGACTCTTTACTATCCTGAAATGAAATGCATAGATAATATAACCTATTTAACATGTTTTCTAAAAAAAAAAGCAGTATAATGTCTTAACTATATCATAAAGGATACGTAAAAGAAAATTATAAGAAAAAATATTTTTAATATGCAAGTGTTCAGGCATAACTACACTAGAAAACAAAAGGTAGTAGTCAGGTGCTTGCACCTATACCATGAAAGTAAAATGTCTGCAAATGTAGACAGATACAGGTTTGTGGGGTTTTTTTGTTTTCTTGATTTTTTTTGTTGGTTTTTTGTTGTTTTTTTTTTTTTTGGGCAACTCAAAAATTGTTGACATTGGTGATGTGATTTTCTGAAATGATGAAAACTCTTGGTAAAGTTCTTAACAAAACAAAATACAGTACCCATAATTTACTCAGTAATTGAGTTTCTGGAAAATTGAGTAAATGTATACACACACACAAACAGGGCAAAGAAGCTTTTGTTTACAAATAAGACAGACTTAGGTTTTAAATTCGAGTGACAATATACAGGTTTTCATTCGTGTGTTAAGCGAGAAATTTGCAAGACAAGGTAATTCTTGGTTTTGTGGGTCTATCTCATACATTATAGGACATCTAGTATCCCTGTTGGGTTCTCATGAAACACCAGCTTTGACCCCACAAATCTTTGTCACAACCAAAACTGTAAACCCACACATTTACAAAATGCCCGAGAACATTACTGCCTCCTGTGAGAGGAGTTACGTGGGTAAGTGCCCTTGTTCTCCTGTATTACAGAAGAACTTCCCGCCAAGGTATTGGTATCCAATGGGATTAAATATTCATATAATTCACTTTTCTGTCACTGAAGCCTAAAGTATACTAACAAACTCCACCTTCCTCATAACCGCATTGTTTGATGGTAGTTATCTTCCCTTGTAGATTGCTGCTTATAGGGCAGAGAGAGAAAATTTGTTAGCCACTATCCTAATTTTTTCCCCACTGTCCTAATTTGTGTTTTCTTTCTGGCCCTTTATCTTCTAGGAGGAATGCAGGCCCAGGTTGGAATGCCAGGAAGTGGACCGGTGTCCATGGAGCGGGGACAAGGTAAATAAATAGTAATGTCTGACTAATGTGGACTGGACTTGGAAATGTTCTATAGCTGCACTATCTAAGATGGTAATGTGGCAGCCACTAACCACATGTAGCTATTTGAATGTTAAAGTAATTGAAATTGAATTGAAATGAAGTAAAATCTAAACTTCAGTTCCTCATTCACACTAGCCACATTATAAGTGCTCAGTGGCCACATGTGGCTAGTGGATACCCTCCCTACTGGATATTGCAGATATAGAACATTTCCATCATTGCAGACAATTTCGTTGGACACCACTGGTCTAGACTTTCCAACTAGTGATTCAGAGCCCAGTTCTACAAGAACTGATGACGAAGCAAGTGGATCCTTAGTTTCCATTTAATTTATATCACCTTTTCCTGATAGTCTAATGATTCTGCTGAAATGATTCACTCTCCCTCTGGATATCTCTTGACTGAGTAAGGAATTTTAATAATGAGCTTGTAATAATGCATCTGGGTATGTTGAAGTCTAAATTGAAACCCCAGAGAAAACTGGGGAGGGGGGAATCAAAGGTCTATGAAGCCTATATAGGTGTATGTTATACTTTGGCAGTAACACTAGATACCATAGCGGCAGCTGCTCCAAAATCTCCACATTATTTCTCTATGTTATTGGAGTTTAAAGAAAAAGAAAATGCAATGGTTCCGTTGAAAACAACATTAGGAGGAGAGAGAGCGAGAAGACAGAAGGAACTAACAATAAAACTGAGTGAATACTGTAGGCCAGGCTCTTTAATTTTTATAAACAACCTTGTGAGTTAGGGGCAGCACCTGAGTTTTCAGGTAAAAAGATGGAAGCTCAGAGTTTTAAGTTACTCAAGGGGACATGGTAAGTAAATACTGATATCTGAACAATGTAGACTAGAGTGGGTGTGCTCATCTTTTCCACCTCGTTAAGTGTAAGAGCTAAGATTCCAAAGTCCCTGATTCTAGAATCTGTCCTCTTATGTCAATCCACACTCCCTCTGTTAACTTCCAAAAATACTTTGCAATGTCTTCTGTTCTTATTCATCATGTCCTTGTGATGAAAAAGAACTTCTGTGGACAAGCAGAAAGAAGCTTAAGTTACTTCTTCTTAACATGTGGCCTGTAAGTGAAACCTATTTTTAAAGCAAAATATTAAGAAATAGGCCTATGTACTGTACTCCTTGACTATTGTTTGTACACTGAGGTGGTTACTGAATTGACAGACTAATAATTTTGTCAGATAGTTGACAACGGAACAAGCTCTTGGCTACGTACCTCATCTGAGAAGCCCATGCTTTTGTGCTAGTGTGCCCCACCGTCTCAGCTAATCAGTAGATTGTGTATGTGCGCCAAAGTAATTTTGCAGTAGTGAGGAGGAATTGGGATTTCAGTCATACTTTTACCTCTCCACAAGCCATCCATCAAGCTAGAGCTATTTAATATACACTTCCAGAAGACATCTTTCCTGCTATAGTTAGCTTCAACTTTTTGGTCAAAAGTTAACAAAAGGAAGTTACTCAAATTTTGAAGGTATATCAAGGCTCTCTTCAGGAGGAGACAAAGTGAGATGAGTTTCCTTTTAGCTTTCCTTCTCTACCCCTCAGAGGAAGCAAGAAGCTTTTCATTTGTACCTAGTTTGTCTTTTTCTGGAATCCTTGGTTTTTTTGCACATTTATAATGGTGAAAGGAGACAGTGAGATGTTTAAGAAAATACTTTCTCTTGCCTTCTGCCACCTTTGTTTAGTGTTGGTGCCTTTGCCATCTTCTCATTGGTCTTTGTTTGCTATTGTCATGATGTTTATTTGTTATCAAACACTTGCAGTGGCAGAGTGTTTCTTTAGGAGTAATGTTCTCTTTTCTCATCTAATGTTCATTCATTGCATTTTCCTGTTTGATACTTTTTGATAGCAAAAATTTTTATGCTTTAAAATATGGCCAAAATAGTACTGGTACGGGCCTCTCCAGAATAAATTTTGCCTTCTAGATGCAGTATAATTTATTTCATTTTTCCTTATGACATATGTTTATATTCTTTACCTAACTAGAGAGTCAGAAGCATCCTTTTAATATTTTTGGTTTTTTTTAATGGTATCATAAGGTGATTTAGAGAGAATCATAGTAGCAGAGGTGAAAATTGAAAGTGGCTGGTTATTCCTGCCTAGTCAGTGGCCCACAGGTTTCAACTAGGAAATGATCTCATCAAAGTGACACAGTTTCAGATCCCGAAGAACACAGTTTAGGAAGATGTTGTAGCCCAGGGCAAACTAATGAACTCTTGGCTTTTTAACTAACATGTAAATCTCCAGTGTCAGTATGTGTATGTTTCTGTATGTGTGTGCAAGCTCTTTTAAGTGTCTGCTCTTTCTCCTTTTGAACTTACTGCTTACCTAGGAACCCTACAGCACTCGCCTGTGGGACCCACCGGGCCTGCCTCAATTGAGCGAGTTCAAGGTACCCATTGTATCTGCGGGTTTCCTTTGGCTTGTGGTGTTCAGGGTGGGACGTTGAGAGGACAAGGGCTGCTTGGCAGTCATCCTCCCGTTCAGAACCCAAAAGGGTAGTGTTTTGGGTTTTTGTTTTTTAATTTTTTTCCTGTTGGGGCCACAAGCCTAAGATTGACCTCTTCACACAGGGCAGAGAACATGGATGATATGGGCATCTGTCCGAGGCTGTACTCCCTCCCTACTGGTGTCAGGAGGCTTGGATGGAATAGCGGTCTGTAAGGAGACAGCAGGTTCTTGCAGAGCCATGGCAGTATTCACATATGCCAAGACCCTACCTCTCTTTTGTGACTCTGGTCCTTGAACTAAGATTAATTTTAAGGAAAACCAGGAGCATAAGTTTCTTCAGGTTACAGTGCTAGTCCTTGGCAGGTTGCTCCCCATTTTGCTTTTTACATAATTCCATCCATACCTCTGACATGGCACAGATTCTGCCTACACCTTTCTTCTGTTCTTGAACTGCAAGAGGAGTCTGCTGTGGTGAGGTTTCACCCACTCTAAGGTGTCTGAATTATGTTGTCAGTGGTATATGGAGTCATTTCTTTTTCCCTTATGTGTCCTTCACAGCAGTAACTCCCCGTTTGTTTCCCTGTCAGTGCCGATGCAAGACCCCAGAGCAGCTATGCAGCGTGGGCCCTTGCCTGCCAATGTCCCAACTCCTCGAGGTCTGTTAGGAGACGCTCCGAATGACCCACGTGGAGGCACTTTACTTTCTGTAACTGGAGAGGTAGAGCCTAGGTAAGCAATGACATAGAACAAAAAGCTTAGAGGAATCAGAATTTGCCCTTGCTTTGAGAAGAAAGTCTTTCCATACCGGTTCTACCTGTTGGCTGCTGTCCAAGATTAAGCACCTCTCCTTGGGCAGAACCGTGTAATTGAGTATGTCATTTTGAACTAACCATGGCTATTCCATCTTTAGAAATTGGAAATTCTAGCATATATACCGGAATAGGAAAAACTTACATTCTTTATTGGTAATGGTAATCATAATGGCAATAATAATAAAATCATAATTGATATTAATAGGGATTATGCCTCTGACCCTGCTCTGAGTACTTAACTTAAATCATCTCATTAAATCCACACAACAACCCTATGAAATTGATACTAATGTCAGTCCCATTTTACAGATGAAGAAATTGAGGCATAGAGAAGTTAAGTAAGTGTGCCCAAGATCACACAGGTAATAAGTGATGGAGCCTAGATTTGAACCCATACAGTAACCATGTCCTTAAGCGTACTTATTATCTATAATGGATATCCATTAATTCCTTCTTAATTTTAAGTGCCCTGACCAAATATGGAATTCTAGAATATGTTGATTTACATCTCCATAGCTTTTCTTCAATCTCTGATGTTATTCTCTTAGCATTCATAGACTGATGTTTGCATCATTTCTTTGTCTGATTTTTAGTTATTGGTCTTCTGGTTGACACTTTTATCTTGTTGTTTTGTTCTGTTTTAAAATATAACATTTTTTTCCATCTTTAGAGGTTACCTGGGACCTCCTCATCAGGGTCCACCCATGCACCATGTCCCTGGCCATGACAGCCGTGGCCCACCCCCACATGAGATGAGGGGAGGACCATTAGCTGAGCCCAGACCTCTGATGGCAGAGCCAAGAGGACCCATGCTAGATCAGAGGGGTCCACCCTTAGATGGCAGAGGTAAGAAGAGCAGACCATGTCACAAGACTGACTGGTAGTTGTAGGCCGATGGTAAACCCAGCTGTCTTAGGTTCTAATCTGGGATAAAAAATGCTAGGGTGTTCGGATTGGTAAGTATTTTTAAGGTTTATCTGCAAATCTGAGAAATTGGAGAAGAGAAAGCAGTCAGTCTCATGTAGTTAGGTGGGGATGTGACTAGAGGAATAGATTTCTATCTTGGATTGTTGGTTCTTCTTGCCATAAAGGTGAACAGCTACTTGATGGTCTTCTCGCACCTTACTTTATAGGTGGAAGAGATCCCCGAAGCATAGAGGCACGAGCCATGGAGGCACGGGCCATGGAGGCAAGAGGATTAGATGCCAGAGGATTGGATGCCCGTGCGATGGAAGCCCGTGCGATGGAGGCTCGTGCGATGGAGGCCCGTGCGATGGAGGCCCGTGCGATGGAAGTCAGAGGGATGGAGGCCAGAAGCATGGATACAAGGGGCCCGGTCCCTGGCCCTAGAGGCCCTATACCTAGTGGAATCCAGGGTCCCAATCCAATTAACATGGGCGCAGTTGGCCCCCAGGGATCCAGACAGGTAAGTGTAACTTTCACTTCTAGCTTCTATGTGAAATCTTGATCTATCCAGGAATTTATTATTGAGCCTAATTATTACTGCTTTCTGATTTGGACTATTTCTCAGCTTGTTAGAAAGGAACGATTACAGTCTCCCTTCATTTAGTTTCTCTGTCCCTTAGGATGGTGATTTTCTGGCCACCAGGAATATAGTCCAAAGGAGCAACCTTGTCTCACAATTTTGGGACCTCTTCCATTCAGAGAAGAGGCCCTGAAAATATATCTGGAGAATCTAGGCATGGGTCATTTGAAAAACCTCCCCCCCCAAAAAAAAAAATCCTAATGTACAACCCTAAGAGCCACTGCATTAGAGAATATGAAGAGTTCTTCGTGGCCATTTGGATAATCTTAGGTTTATATAAACCTATTTTAATTTGCTTTCATTACATAGCCTAAGTGAACAGTAGAGTATGAAAGGTAATTTACTAATGTTCACCTTAAAACTTGTTGAACCAAATTCTTATCTCTGCTTTCTCTTTATTTAGCTCTCCCCAGCTATGTGTACATGGTGGTCTCTGATGGTCTATGAGTTGTCATCTCCTCCCTCTTCGCCCCCACTTAGTTGTGGGGAGATATGTGTGTATCTTCCCTAGGTTTTTATATGCTAGAACCTTCATCTGTCTCAAGCCCCTTCGTCTTCCTTTTTCCTGTATGTGTCTTCCTCCTTCCTCTCTGTACTTGTCTCTCTTTCCTCTTCCATGTGCTTCTGTGCCTTCCTCCCCTCGTCTGTGAGTGTGTGTGAGTGTGTGTGTATGATAGAGAGAGACAGACAGACAGACAGACAGATAGAGAGAGAGAAAGGGAGAGGGGGAAGGAAAATGTCAGCTGAAATGGAACATGTTAGTCATCCAATTCTCTCATTTTGTCGGTTTGGAAACAGACCCAAGAATTCAGTTGCCTTGTCTAAATTAACACAACTAAAAAGTGGTAGAGCAAGGAATAGGACTCACTCTTTTTTTTATTGTACCACACTCTGTCCTGTTATCTGCATGCTGCATATGTGTATGTGTGTGTCTACCTCTTCTTTAATATGAAATATGAGTATGTTGTTTCTGGTATGTGTAGAAGACGACTGTTCATTATTATCTTTCAAGTCATACTTCTTAAAAAAATGTGTTCGTGGACCTTGATGTTTATTTTGCCCTCTTTGATCAGTACCCTCATAATAATGGTTTTTATGCATTCTTTTAGTCATTTAACAAATATTTACTGAGCACCTACTATGTATGAGACAGAGCTATAGGTACTAGGGATATAGCAGTGTGAACAAAACAGTCCCTTCCCTGCAATGTGAGGAGCCAGGTGACAGTCTGACAGTGAAGGAAACCATGGGGCTTGCATTCTAGTTGGGGAGACAGACAACAAATTATATGACGTGCTTATGTAATTCTGTCGATAATTCTGTGGAGAAAGATGTTGAAAATAATGGTTGAAAGACCATTTCTGGGTAATGTCTCACTGCTTTATTTCTGCTAACACTTGAACTCACTCTGTAATATTAGGTTTATATAGTTTTCATTAGTAGATTCTATAGTGCTAATTAGATCTGAGGTAGAGCAAATAAAAAATCTTCAAACCTTTTAAAAATTGTTTAAATCAATGTGTTCACTTATAAATAAATATATAAAATATATTCACTCATATATAATAGATATACCACAAAAACTTTACTTCCTCCCCATATTAGTGACCCCCCTCTCCTATCGATAATTGCTTTTATTAGACTTTTATGTATCTTTCTAGCAAGTAAAAATATATTTTTTTATTTTTTCAAATATGAATATATATGCATTCTTATTTCCCCCTCTTTTCACTGTTCTGTGCCTTGTTTTTTTACTTAACAGTATGCCCTTAATGATTTTAAATCAGATTTTAAAATTAACTCCAATATACCTAAGTTAGAAACTTGCCAGTAAAAGACTCATTATTACTAGGGTGATTATATAACTTAATTCAAAGAGGGACATGTTTGAGAGTGAGAGCACTGTAAGTAATTACTCTGGGACAAAAGCATAAACTGGGACTGTCTTAGGCAAACCTAGATGTATGATAACCCATATTATTGCTTGTCTGCCTAGAGCAAGCACTCCTGGAAACTTTAAATGGCAATTAGCGGATGGTCAGATCACATTACAGTACTTCAAATTAGTATCGAGTGAAGCTTCAAAAAGGTTATTCTCAGGGATGTTTTGGATCTGTAACAGATTATGAAAGTTCAGAAGAGTCTCTGGATTCAGTATTGATAAAGAACAGAAAATGATAATATTATAGCAATCTATACAAAGCTATACTAATGCTTTATCTCTCTGATGTCTTTGGGAAATGAGTTAATGCGTGTAAATGAATGTTCCAGATAATAAAATTGTTCTATCAAGTTTTTAAACTACTTGAATGAAAAATAATTTCTAAAGTGTATTACGCTTCTTTCCCTTTTTAAACAGGATACAAAAAATGATTTTAATTGTTTAGATTACTCAGGGTCATCATTAAATGTCCCCATTAGTGTATATGTTATAATAGAAAGCATAGTTAACTCCTCGTTTTTGGTTTCCTTCACTGTCAGACTGTCACCTGGCTCCTCACATTGCTATCATGGTATCTACTCCTAAGAGCCTATCCACATTTCTGTAATGCTTTGGTGCTTCTAACCTGCTGGGGAAGCAGGTAACAAGTTTGTTAACAATTTGTGTTTAAAAGTACCTGATCTCTAGGTGAGTGCCTGAGTGCGAACATAACTCCACCATAAAGGCCTTTCAACAGTTATTCTATGTGCTCTGAGGCCTGTTTCTTGGGTTCTGGTAGTCTTCCCAAAGATTGAACTCACCGAAGATCATAAAAACTATTAAGTCCAATATAACTGCATTTTGTTCTTTTAATTTGGGTCGGTCGTATCTCTTGGTCTCTGTTTAGCAGAAAGCACCTGCTGCATATTCTCTCTGGAAAGTTACAAAAAGCAAATGTTGGGCTAATAGCAGTCTTCTCCCCAGAGGCCTTCTCATCTCCTTTCTGCCTCTGCCATCATGATCATCTCTTCCTTACTCGTGGGATAGAGATGACCCCTTTGATATGAACCGCCTATGCCCGATTGAACTAGAGGTGGTATCCTTTGAATGTAGCTTCCCCAGTGGACCAGCATGCATTATCTCTAGACTCCATAGGCTTTCATTTGTTTCCACTGAGCACTAGTTTCTGAGGTGCTCTCAGTTTTGTGTTTATGTGGCTGAATTTTACTTAATTTGATGGTATCCAGTTGTGTTGTGTGATATTTGTTGATTCTGGAACTATTGTAAGCAAATGTGTCTAACTTGCTAGTTGATCTCTGCCTAAACCCTGCCTTCTGCCATTGCTAGCAGTAGGAAGTAATCTTCAGAGTCATTAATTTGCTTTTCTTACTCATATCCATAATCAGATCATATATTTTCACATTGCTATTACTGGATTCTGGTTACCTATGTGAGAAGTTCTGAAAAATCTCTCCTCATCTCTCTTTGTGCACATAGGTCCCAGTCATGCAGGGAGCGGGCATGCAAGGAGCAAACATCCAGGCTGGAGGTCAGCCTGGTGGCTTTAGTCCTGGCCAGAATCAAGTCACTCCACAGGACCATGAGAAGGTAAACAACACTGTTTGAGTGCCTCCATATGCACAAATCTTCTGGATTCCTCTTTGTAGTTACCATTTGTAAGTCCTGAGTTTTCGGAGTCCCTTTCAAAGTGATATTTACTCTTAGAATTCTTTGTGATCTTGTTAACTGAAAATTTGTGAGCCAGTTCTAAAAATCCTTAAATGGATGTATATAAATGGCAGCTTATCTTATATTTCAGACTCATCTGCCAATAGCAGTTATTTGTGCAGGCCACATTGACCTGAAAATCCAAATCCCTTTTTTCAGCCCCTTTCTACCTTATCTCTAAAAACAGTAGCAGATTCCCCACAAATATCTTTCTCTTTCTATATTTGACCATTTTGGGGAGCTGGTATTTGATGGAAAGGCTAAAACTTCTGAAAAAGAGAGAGATTTTCAGAACAGGATTAAAAACTGAAGACTTCCCAGGGATCATAGATTCCACCTTAGTCTTCAAGAGCTTTGGGATCGTGAAGGTGTCTGTTTTGAGCCTTCTAATCTTGAGTATTATTGTACTTGTGCTTTTCATTGTACCTTTTCCTACCAGCTGGTTTTGGTTTTTGTTTAGTTTGGGTTGATTGAGGGGTGCTGTTTTCTATGTGTGAAATATCCTTCCTTTTTTGGACAGAAACTGGCATTGTGTTTTTAGATGTCATCATTAAAATTCACTACCTTTATTTTTCTCTCTGCACAGGCTGCTTTGATCATGCAGGTTCTTCAACTGACTGCAGATCAGATTGCCATGCTGCCTCCTGAGCAGAGGCAGAGTATCCTGATCTTAAAGGAACAAATACAGAAATCCACTGGAGCACCTTGAAAGGTGAGCAGACCTACCCCACCTAAGTCAGAAATGCTCTTTATGCATTTGGGGTATATACTTCCAACCTTAACCAACAGGACTCTCCTGATTTCAAGACTCCAAGGCCTGTACTCCTCTTGGCTGGACTCTTTACCCCTCAGTAGGTCAGCCCCTACTGGGATAGTGGAAGGCTACAGGACATTTGTTCAGCTGTTGAATTAGTTGTAATCTTTTTTAACCTTTCCTTCTTAATGGCAAAAGGAACATACAATCAATTTAATAAATTAATCAAATAAAGAAATGTAAAAAGTTCAGGGTAAAAAGCTCTACTTCCTCAATCTTGATCCCCAGACATAACCTCTAAATATAGTTTAGTGTATATTTTTTCAGAGTCAGTTATGTTATTTTACCCCAAACTGTTCCATATAAATGGAAAAAATACAAAGCATTTCAATAAAATGTATACATGTTTTAGTTCCCAGTATTTATTTTATATTGAATATTTTAAGGATAAACTATTACAGCACATAATTAAAATCATGAATGTCCACCACCCCATCAGTTCCTATACATTTTAGAGGTTGCTCTACACTTACTGTCCTTATTTTTCTTTCTCATTGGTCAGGTAAAAGGGATCATAATCACGTGACCTGAACATATATCGGTCTTTCTTTCTTAAAATTTCCCAACAACATCTTGTATTTCTTTAGCAATTCTGTTTTCTAAAAACAGTTTAAAATTTACATTGTCCTTTATAGACTAGTGGTTACCAGACCACTATAGAGTAGTGGTTACTACTGGGGTGGGGGAGGGAGGAGGGAAGTAGATGGGGTAAAGGGGGCCAAATATAGGGGTGTAGGGGGAGGGATAAGGGAGTAAAGGGGATCAAATATATGGTAGCTGAAAGAAATGACTTTGGGTGTTAAACATGCAATAGAATATACAGATGTCAAATGATAATGTACACCTGAAAATTATATAATTGTATTAACCAATGTGACCCCAATAAACTTAAAAAATATTTACATTGTCCCAGTGTCAGCTAGAATATCACATTTTAAATTTCTACTTTTTACTCCATTTGTATTATAATTTCCATCCATATATTATCATATAAGAGTGAACTCATTTATACTAATTAGCAGTCTTTACTAAACGTATTTTAATTCATATTTGTAATGTCATTAAAACATCCAGACTAGAAATATGCATCATATCTGTCATAGATGAATGGCTAGCTAGGCTATCAGTCTGATCAGTACTTTAACTTTTAGTTCAGATACCCAAGGCATTCTTTTTTGGTATTAGTAAAAGCATAGATTACCTTTTATATGCAGAGGAAGAAATAAAAAAAAACTTCTTTCCTTTTACTTTTTGAAATTTATTTATGCCAGAGAAGGTGTTCTCTATAATGTGAGAAAATTTTGGGGGGTAATGGAGGTAGAAATGTTTCTGAAAGTCCTTTCATTAAATGTTTTCTTGTTTATATCTCATATGAAAGCCTTACACATAAACCACGGGTAAAAGTTTTTTGTTTTACCTTTGATTTTGAAATAATTGTAAATTCGCAGGTAGTTGGAAAAATAGTCCAAAGAGCCTCATCCCTCAGCTTCCTCCAATGATAACATCTTGAGAATCTGTTTTACAGTACCTTTTTGATTTGTAGTACAAAATCAGAAAAATTGAAATTGGTACATAGCTGCTAACTAGACTGCAGATCTTACTCAGTCTTTACCATTTTTTAAACCTACATTAATTTGTGTGCGTGTGTGTGTGTGTGGTGTGTGCATGTAGTGCTATGCAGTTTTACACAGGCAAGGTTTTAATGTGCATGTGCTGTTCACTGCATACTGTAGCCAAAATGTTGGCTCTCCCTCCATCCTATACCTCACTAGTTTTGATCTATCTCTGCTGTCACTGACAGACTTATGTACTATTACCATTAGATCACTGGTTCTCAGCCTGAGACAGTTTTTCCCCCTACAGGACATTTGAAAATGTCTGGAGACATTTATAGTTGCCAGAATTTTAGGGGCTGTGTTGTGCTACTGGCATTCAGTGGGTAGAGACTCGAGATGCTACTAAATATCTTATAATACACAGGACATTCCCCTTTAACAGAGTTTTTCTAACCCCAGATGTCAGTAGTGCTGAGGTTGAGAAACCCTGCTGTAAAGGATGATTACTTTGGGGAGGCAGGAGCCAGACACCTTAGGCATCTCCCCCTGGTGTTTTGCTCTTAGATATAGTCTCCCTCCCTGACCTTATTTTTTTTTCCCCTGATGTTTGGTGAAGAGATCTTTGTCTCCACTTCTAATGGCTTTCTCCCAACTTTTCCTTACAGGTTTTCAAAAATCCCTGGCAACAAGTCTGGAAGTTAATTATATAACTCTATTGAAATGTTGCAAAAAGATGGCTTCTACATCCTTAACCCTTGAATGACTCAAATTGGTGCCAGGTGGAGGACTCCCATCACCTTCTCTCAGAACAAAACAAGTCCTTTCTGTTGTCTTAGTTTGTATATTTTCTGTGACTTGAAATAAACTTTGAACACAATTTTAGTATACTGCAAATTGATATACACGACCTTTTTGCTTTTAAAAAGCTGAATACCAAGGGTAAAACCTTAGATGTGTTTTCTACCCTTACCGCAGTATTGTTCTTTAATGTTCTATTGCTATAGCTCTGTTTTTCTTTCTAAGTTAACTGTTTATTCTTCTTGATGATATTTGAGAATTTCTCAGAAAGCATTTTCTGAAACTTAGTTTTTATTTCATGCTTCCAGC